TTTAATTTTATCTGTTACTATGGTGACTTGATCTCTCTCTCTCTCTCTCTCTCTCTCTGAATAAATAAGTCATGTCCTTATAGTCTCATCATCAATGTTTTCACTGGAACAGATTGTCAAGTCCATAATGACTACCAGGATAAGCACAGGCCAAGTCTAACTTCAGCTTTTTGGAATCATTCCTTTACATTAACCCAGGGAATCAGGTCAATCTTTAAAGTATCCTTCAGGAAAAAGACGACGTAAAGTTGTTTGGACCTGGCATTATCAAAACAAGTTCACATTTCTAATTGCAATCAAGCTGTAAGGTCCATTTCTTTTGAGAGTGAGAAGTGACACAGGCAGATAGAGAAAGTCAGAGCAGATTCCTTAAGATGGCAACGACTTGTTCCCAGAAGATACTGTGGTGGAGAGTGGCAGGAAAGAAGAGCCCTCTGGGGGTGTAAATCCAAGCAGGACCAATAATGACAATGGGAAAGGGAGGATTCAGTGACCATATAAGATACTGAACCCCTCCCTTTCCAAAAGGGAGCTGTTTGCTTACTTTAAGAAGGGTGTTTCTGTTGCTTTTTCCATGTTTTGGAATCTGCTCTGTCAGAGAGTCAGTTTTTTGCCTGTCTCATAATGAACTTGCCCATTCCTCTGATAACCACTGCAACCTGTTATATCATTTGTTCATATGGCCTTCTACAGAAGTTTATGAGCACTTCTCCTGTGTAAGCCTCTTGGAGATCTCCTTCCTCTCTCTGATGAGAATCAGGTGAAATTAAATCTTAAGATCATAATGAATAGCAAAGACCCTCTCACCTTTCTGTCATCTATCATATAGATTATGTGGTGGAGGAAAGGGGCAGACATGATGGCATTAGACTGTGCCATTGTTACTATTCACTGCTCTTGTCTATTTTCATAGTGTGAGAGCACACCAAAGGGAACAGAAAAATATGAAAAATTTGTCATTTGACATGGAACAGGGTGAGTTTTGAGTTGTAAGGAAGGTGGTGCTTAAAAAGCAGCTGTAGCTGTTGAGGGGATTAGCACCATTTAAGGGGAAACTAGTGCTCTGCACTAGGACAATAGGAAAGGAACCCTGAATCCCAGATCCCATCCATCCCAGGCTCAACCTGTGAAAAGTACCACTTCATATGAAAGGAAGGAAGCTCAGTTGAGAATGCTACTGATGGAGTTTTTGTTCTAGAAAACAATGGTCTAAGCAGATAGAAGCCAATGCAAGTGTGGAGTGAGGTAACTATGTTTCATCTCAAGCTGGCAGAAGTAAGCAAAATAATCCCCATGATTCTGGTTATGCAGGAATGTTATACCTAATATTTATAGAGCCAAGAAATCTTGCACCAAGACTCCAGAGAGCTTCTGAGATCAAACAATGTGCATCATGGTTGAAGGCCCCACAGGGAAGGCCTAGGTAGCCATTGTATGAAGCTGTCAATGAGAAACCTAAGTTTCAATGGAAATTCCACTATTTGGGTGATGCCATGATTGTGTAACATATGCCAAGATGATCTACAGACATGGGGTGAATATCAAACAGTTGAGAGAGGCCATGTGTCTGGCATGCCACACACTTAGGGGTGGTAGGACTGCTTAAGAACTTGGAATGCAGATGATTCCATCATGAGCCTCAGATAATGGAGATGAAAGTTCTTGATTTAATATTTTCTGTGCTGGGTTTCATTGTCACATTGACCCGTTATTTCATTCCCATGAGCTTGTTTCTTCCTTTTGGAATGGAAATGTTTAGTCTGTGCCATTGATGTATGTAACTTATCTTGAATCTCAGAAAAGACTTCAGACTTCTGAACAGGGTTTGAATTGTTAAAGATTCTGGAGCCCTTTGAAGTTGTAATACATGCATTTTACATTTTGGGATGGGCAGGAACCTACGGAGGCCATGGTTGGGGTGCTGTGGTTTGAATGAAAAATGTTTCCTTGGGTTTA